TAAGACTCTATGTATTCTCTATTACGAACTTTAAAGTAGTTTTCTCCAGTCATAAAAAGCAAAAAGCCAGTAGGAGTACTGCTCAGTATTGCCATATATGTTTATGTACATATATGTGTACATATACAATATGTGTACATACATGTGGAAGTATGTATATGTATATGCTCAAATTTTGGAGGGCTAAGCTTTGACTTCTGGAGAGGGAGTTCCTCTAACGCTGCATAACTCGCCACCCTGAATTGTATGTAGCACTTAAACAGTGTCAGCAGCCTCTGTTCTGCTCACAGACTTGCCCTGTAGGCCCGGCTCAGATGTTAACTTGCCCTTGTCCACAGAGCTGGAGCTGGGTGCTTGAGTTCAGGGTGCTGTCCCATGAGGGCTCCTGACCCACAGCGTGGCTGCAGGGTGGGGAGACACCCACAGCCAAACGCCCAGCTCCCCACACCTGCTGAGTCTCCCTCTGTCCTCATGGGGCCTCCAGTCTGGGGCTCGGTGTGCTGGACATGGCCTGTGTTGCTGCAGAACCAGGTGGGGCTGTGCTGCTTTTCCCGACCAGCCTCGAGCCACCCGGCATCCCTTCTGTGACACCGTGTCTGTGGGGCGGTCACCGACCTGCCTGGGTTTGAGGCAGGATGGGCTCTGCCTCTTTTCAGGAAGTGGGAAGGGCTAGAAAAGCAGTGGGACTGGAATCCCTGCTGGCCATTTTTTGAGATGTTTTGAAACAAAGGCTAAAGTTAAACATTATTTTTGTTGAAGTACAACAGAAGGTTTTGCTTTGCACTGTTCGCAAATGTCAGCAAATTAAGACTCAAGTGATGCCAGGGATTTTGTTTAGTGACCCTGCCCATGTGTGCCCCGATGCTTCACTCTGGTCAGCATCCTCCTGCGTGAGAGTGAGGGCCTGGGGGTGGAGCATGGAGAGCAGGCGACGTGCTGGTCGTTGCACTGTCATCGCAGGGTCTGGAGGCGGAGCAGGCAGGGCAGCAGGGCAGGTGGGGGCAGTGGGGCGGCTGCCTCACCTGAGCAAGCCTGTCTCGGGGCACCTTGTATCCTCTCGCTGCTCTTTTTTCCCCCTTCCCACCTTTTCTGTTTGTGGCAGAGGGCTACTGATGGCCCTCCACTGACTGGTGGGTTGTTTCTCAGGGTTTGCTAACACCATGGACAGTGCTGGGAAGAAGTAATACGGGCCGTTTCAGTTTTGGGGGAACACCCACGATTAAAGGGCTTTCCGTGGAGAGTCTGGGAGGCCAGGGCTCACACTCCAAATGCGGGAGAGCGGCTCAGTCATCAGGGTGGGCTGGGCGGTGTGGGGAGAGGAGGACGTCGGAGTGGGCCTCGCCCATGACCCACACCATCCACACGTCCGCCACCAACTTCTGGGTTAAAGATTCTTCTGTGCAGGTTTGGCAGAGTATATGTTGTGTGACGATCGATGAGAAATGTATGCTGTTTTAAATGGACTTTTTCATAATTGGAAAAGCAAATTGTTTACACAGGTATTCTCATAAAATTGTGTTTCAGGAATAGACTCATCTCTGCAAGCAGAGAATAGAACCCCTGGGCCCGCACAGACCACGGTTGCTGCACCCAAGCAGCAGAAGTCTCGGCCCACCAACTCACGGGATGAGCGCTTCCGGTCAGGTAGGCTCGTGGCCTGGGTAGTGAGGAGGGCAGGTGGGCCTGGCACTCTTAGACTCTGGTCACGAAGGCTATCAGGTATTTTTTTTTTTGCTGAAATACCTGCCCAAGAAATTATTTTCAGTTGAGCAATAATGTACATAACACTTCTCAAGAAAAACATTTAACCTTCACATAACCACAGTCAGTTTTAATGTATCCTGGAGCTTAAGTGTTGTTTTCTTAAAGGATGCCCACTAAAATCTCTGGAGAAATCCTCCTACTCTCACTAGAATAATTTCTTTAAACATTTTTGTACATTTTTCCACCTAGAGCGTTGGGGTTGGTATTAGTAATTTTTGTGTCTGTGGAACAGCTTTACTGCTAGGTATAGGTGTTTTAGTATTTCTCTTTCTAATTTTGGAGGTTTCTTTCATTCTGTTTGGCGGTGCTTTTATGAATATTTAAATTTGTGTCTGATATTTTATTTGAATTATCAGAATGCCCACT